CCTTTATTCAGGTTTGCCATTCTTAGGTAAGCCACTCTTCAACCTCATGCATCTAGCCCGCTCATTCAATGTTCTGTTCATGCATTCAGCAATGCCATTATGCTGCGGAGTCCCCTTTGTTGTCTTCTCCATACGAACCTCATTCTCAGCACAAAACTTCTTGAACTCATGCAGCTCATACTCACCTCCGTTGTCAGACCGAAGGCACTTCAACTTCAGACCTGTCTCCGTCTCAACAAGAGCTTTCCACTTCCTGAAAGCAAAGGCATCGGATTTATTTTTGAGAAAATAAACCCATACTTTTCTTGTGGCATCATCAATTAAGGTCATGTAGTAGGTGGATCCTCCCAAGGATTTAACTTATGCAGGTCCCCAAAGGTCGGTGTGAACTAGTTCCAGCTTCTCCAGTTTAATAGCTCTTCTCCCCTTCGAGAAACTGAAACGTTTCTGTTTCCCGAATATGCAGTCCTCGCATAAGCCAACCTCAACAGTCTTCAGGTCGGGCAGTTTGCCCTTCGAGCACAGCTCTTTCATCCCCTTTTCGCTCATGTGACCGAGACGACAGTGCCATAAATTCACATCGTTTGTTGCATCGGCAGCAACATCGATGCAATCCTTCGAGTTCATTGTCATGTACAACGTACCCTCCTTTTTCCCCTTAGCAACCAGCAAGGCTCCCTTGGTGATCTTCCAATTTCTGCTGCCGAATGTAACTGCATAACCTTCCTTATCCAGCTGCCAGTTGAAAGAAGATTCCTCCTCAAGCCAGGAATGTGTTGGACACCATTCAGTTTCAGAATGCATCCGTTCGGAGTGTTCACATGGACTGTCCCCTTCCCAACAATTTTAAGAGGCTCATCATCAGCAAGATACACCTCTCCAAAATTGCCGGGAGTATATCGTTCCATTACTTCAGAATTACCACATGAATGCAACGAGGCTCCAGAATCCAGAACCCATGACTCCAACGGACTTCTCACGCTCAGGATCAGAAGATCATCGCCAGATGATTCTGTCGCTGCGTTGGCAGATGTCTTCTCCTTCTGATCCTTGATCTGCTCCTTACACTGGCTCTTGAAGTGTCCGTACTCCTCACAATTCCAGCACTTGATCTGACTTCTGTCCTTCTTTCCCTTGCTGTTTGATTTGGATATAAATCTTGATCTATCCCGATTTGACTTAGATTTCGACTTCGTTCTGCCCCGGTTCTCTATACTCAACGCCGATCTAGAAGCCAAACCCGATTCCTTCCTACGAATTTCTTCGCTGACCACCAGATTTCTGACTTCGTCGAATTTCAGTTGCTCCTTCCTCGCAGAAGCGCTGACTGTCGTCACCGTTCTGTTCCAGCTTTCCGGGAGAGAAGATAACAGAATTAGGGCATGAATTTCGTCGTCGAATTTTATCTCAAGCGCGCTCAACTGTGTGGTGATTACATTGAACCCGCTGAGATGATCCACCACCCCCGTACCTTCTGACATCTTTAGATTATAAAGATGCCTCATCAGATGACTTTGTTCACGACGGATGGATTTTCGTACATATCCGACAAAATCTGCAACATCTCCTTCGTCATTTTTGCTTTGACGGTATGTAGGGCGATGTTTCTGGACAGTGATAATCGCACCTCGCTCATCGCTTTTCTGTCCAGCAACTTCCAATCGCTCTCCTTCATGTCTTCCGGCTTATCATCCAGAGGTTGATACAGATCTTTACCATACAGGTAATCTTCGATCTGCAACTTTTAGAATCCGTAATCCGTTCCGTCAAACTGTATCACCGGTGTCTTCAAATTGTCTGCCATCGTGAGATCACCCTTCGAACCTAGGGCTCTGATACCAATTGTTAGGAATTTAAACTCACGCACGCGATGAATAATAAGAAGAACACACGAAAATTTGGTAACTCAGTTTGCCACGAATGACTACGTCTGAGGGCGCTACCAAGCCAAGAATATTATTGCTATTTTCGGATCTACACACAATGATTATAAGGGAGAGAGCTTGTATTTATAGAGAAGTAAATCCTAACCCTAAGGCAACTAGGATGTGTTTCCTAAAATAAATTAAGAAACGTGTTTCCAAAAATAAATTAAGAAACTGTCTCTAACACCTTACAAATATATGAATCAGGGGCGGAGCTAGGGGAGGGTTAGCCCTGGCCCAACTCAAATTTTAAAAATGTCTAAATTTTAAGTGTAAAAAATTCTCTGTAATGTTTTTCCCAAATATTTTCTTTGTATCGGTCCAGTCTGGCCCAGTGTCCTAGCTCTGTCCATGATATGAATGCACCATTAAGAACTGCATCATTACATATGAAGGATCACACCATATCAAGAATATCAAGACCTTCTAACTCAGATTTCATTTTTGTTGAATATAAGTTCATGCGGGAAGCACTTACACCATGTCAGCAATTGGGAATTTGAGGCAACATTCCAGTCTAAGAAAGGTAAGAATAGGTTTTTTAAGGTATATAAGATATATAAAACACTCTTATTTTCTTTATCATTACTCTTGGTTTATTTCGTGTCCATAGGTATTTTTGCCTAAATGTTTTGGTTAATTGTTCATTTGCAAGCTTCAGCTATCCCATCAATTATTCCTAATGATATTTTTTTTTTTTTTGAAAAAAAAGCACTACAATTCTAAATCTTCTTTTAGTTAGGGAAAACCAAACAACAATAGAAAAGTGTACACAAATAGAAGGCATTAAACACATACAGAATATAACCTACTTTGTAGTTAGCGGAGTTCTATAGTAACTTATACATCCAATATTTATATTTATAACAAACTTAAACTCATGCCAAAAACGTGGTCACCATTTTTCATTTTGAAATTCATATGAATACGCATGCATATAAAATTGGGAAAGTTCCCAAAATAGGACTGAAAAAGTTCGAAAATTCCAAAACAGGACTGTCATATTTTTATTCCCAAAATAGGACTAATTACTGTCAAATTTGGAAAATACTGTCATGTTTGAAGTCTAGTACTGCCAAAACATGACAGTAATTAGTCCTATTTTGGGAATAAAAACATGGAAGTCCTATTTTGGAATTTTCAAACTTTTTTAGTCCCATTTTGAGTAATATCTCTATAAAATTTTGTGAGTGAAATTTGGGCACATATAGATTGATGAAATTAAGAATTGAACTTTACTTGTAAATAAGTATACTTTTCATATTTACTTGTAAAATATTTATGAAATCTGATTAACACATGTGTTAATCAGATTTCATAAATATTTTTACTTTAATTAAAATCCGAACAGTTAAATTTATATTTTTATGTGTTGGATATATAAATTATAAATTTCTAAGCGTAAACTTACTACTCCGTATATCAAACTTACTCTTATACTTGTATGTGGTAATTATAATTCAGATCAATAAGCCTAATTGGTCTTTTAATTCGGTTTTTTCTGTGGTAATTATAATTCAGATTTCAGATCAGTAAGCTTATAATGATCCATCCAATAACAATTGACTCTATTTCTTTCAATAGAAAAGTAGAATGAATTAAGCTTATATATGTAGTACTTTTAATTTCAAAACCAATAGATTTCTGAATTAAGTATATATACAACCAAAAAGCTTTAATGTAATTGCATTATTGTCAATTAAGTTTACTGATATGAAATTTCAGTGTGATTAGATCATTTACTTGGTTTATACAAAAAAAAAAACTTAAATGTACTCCGGATCATGAAAAATGCTCTCCGTATGCAACCACAAGTCTTACTCGTATTACCCAATTTGTTTAAGAGGACAGGCTGTAATAAAAATTACTTACAACGTGATATGAATTATGAACTGCTGAACAGAAAGCGCAAGATGCAAGTACCATTACGTAAACAAAGTAATATACCTATCAACAAAATTTGGACCCTGCAAATACGAATATTTCAAATTTTCCACGTGCCGAGAAGTCTTTAATGATATGAGAAGTTGTACTGCGATTCACATCTATTAGCCCTTACGGCGATTCACAATAATGTTAAAAATCACGTCTATTGATATGGTATACAAATTACGGAGTATATTACTACGGGTTATACAAAGGTGCCAATCCACGTCTATTGCCTCCATGTTGTCCAGTCGTTACTTTGAGGCGGGAGTAGTTATTACCTTGGTTTCCTATATTAGTATAGACTATAGATATATAGATTAACAAATTTAAACCAAACCAAATCGAAAAATAGTATGATTTTTGTTTGGTAATAATTCTTCCAACCCGTTCCAAACCGAACTGAAACCGATAAAAACCGAACCGAAAACTGACATGCCCGGCCCTAGTTTCCAAAACTGATGTGCTTATCAAAGAGCATCTTTCATCTTTCTTCAAAATGGAAGAATATACTTCGTATATGGCTTGAGCCTTCAGCCTTCATGTATCCAAAATTGAAACCATGTGGGAGTTTGGTATCATTCACTTAAGGTCAACAGCAATCTCCTGAGTACTTTTATTTGGGCGGGAGTACTATTCCACAATTTCTACATAGGGAAAACTGTCAAATAGGTCCTCGAACTTTCATAAAAAAATTAATTAAGTCCTTCTATAGGAGACTCTGTCCGGTCGTCGCGATTTGGGGCGGTTTCCGATGGAATTTTTTGATGAAATTTTTTGAGCATCTTATTCATCAAGTCTAGTTTACTCATACCAAATTTCAGCTAAAAATTTAATCGGGAGTGCATTCAAATTAATTCGAGAACGCAAAAATGCGTAGTTATCTTCAAGAATTAATTTGAATGTGTTCCCGATTGAATTTTTAGCTGAAATTTGGTACGAGTAAACTAGACTTATAGAAGGACTTAATTGACCTTTTTATGAAAGTTCGAGGACCTATTTGACAGTTTTCCCTTTCTACATATCTTTTGCTATTAGATACTCCATATTAATTAATAAATATAGATATACTATGTATAGATTAATAAATTCTTTCAAACCAATAACTTCAACTGTATTTATTTGGATTATGACACATTTGGATTATGACACAATTCAACATGCGATATTACCAACGAAAAAGTTGAGTTACCAACTTACCACACCAGCAATTATAAAGAGCCTCAACGAAATTTCCAACACAACTACAATAAGAAAATTCCCTACAAATTTAGAAATGTATATGAAAATAAATCAATCAAAAGTCATTATAAAACAAGCTCACACACAGGTACATAATTTGTATATCGGTCCATTGAACTACTCATTCGTGAACTATGCAGGTAGCAACAATTCTATCAGTAGTTCTTAGGCAGCCGGCTTGGCGGCTTGCACCAACCTTGTGTTGAAGCCTGACCATAAAAGGTTGACTTTCAGCATTACAAAGAGCAAATGATCTCCAAATGAAGATAATAGTTATCAGGCCTTCAACCTTGGAGCGCGATTTCTCTGTGTTACTCATTCTGATTATCTGTCAGCATCTCTTAACCAATTAAGTAATTTGTATACAAAAAAGCTTACAACTAGTTAATCAGGAGTGACACTAACGAGAGCATGCGAAACAAAACTTCACATGGTATCCAAGCCTCCCTGAGATTGAGAATGAGACTTGCCAAACGTGTCCTTCCATCCCATTTCGTGAGCTCGTGTTTCCCATGTCGCACTCAATCTCTTCTGTGCCACTAAAGCCGCATCTGCTTTTTCTCTCGCCGCTTCACAAGTCTCCATCCCGGAATTGCACTTGTCTGCTTCCTTCATATACTGAGATGTTAGCTTTTTTGCCTCTAGCAGTGCTGTGTCGGCACGTCTCTGATTTTCCACACCTTCAATGCCTCTCAGTTTCAGTTCCTCGGATAATAATTCTTCGAGGTTCTTTTCCGTGTCCTCCCCCACTTCTGGATCATGTTTTGCACATTCTGTTTTTTTTTTAATTCAGCAGTCAGGAAAGTAATGAGCTGTAATCGACTGTGTAAACTATCCGAGTATTTAATCTGAAGCTAATGTGTGATTTGAAGTCTTGAAAATCACCCATGGAATGCAGAACCTAATGTTTTACCATATGCGTAGAATATAATATTGTCTCTTAGATGGTGTTGAACAGTTTTAACTTTGTGATAGAGTAGAGGACTATACTCATGGTTTCCAGAATGTTCTAATAGAAGATGTGTTTTTCCCATTAAATAAATCTTCATTTTAAGTCACCTGAACTACTAAATTGACAATCCTATGTACTAATTTCAGAAAATTGAAAAGGTGAAGAACAAGAGAGGATCTATGGAAGCAACCATCTTGTCTTTTAGGGAAACTACTACAGTAGTTCCTCATGTAATTAGATCCTTTTGAAGGTAAGGGTGGACCCAGGATGGTTCTTGCTAGGAATTAAGAGGAACCAAAAGTCCAAAACCTTTACTCGGAAAAATGGATCCGGTTTGGCAGAACCAGAACGGTTCGAACCTATTCCGAACACTAGTTCCGGTTCTGAACAGGAATCAGAGGAACCGATCAGGTTCATTACCCGCCCAATTTAGGTCCAGTTTGCGGAACTGTGTGCACTCCTATTTGAAGGTAATTAGGTAACAAACAATCCTTGCAGCCATTTTTTTTCCCAGGAAGCATTTTTGTAGAAATAGGAATGATCAACTTCATAAAACAGCTCTGAAGTAGACGTAAAGTAATACTTTGTCTGGACCTATATGTGTGTGTGCGCGCCCGCATGTGTGTGTATGGAATATTTATAATGTATCACCAACCTGTAAAAGAGGCATTGCTCAATCCTGTAAGGAATAAAAAGAGTAGATTCTTGTGAGGATTCAATTTGATAAAAGATAAAAAACACAAATATATGATAGTATCAATAAAAAGAATTTAAGAGAGAAATATCGATGATAAAATTGGTAAATAAAATGTATATAAAACAGGTACATGAGGGCTTTTAAATATCAAACTACCACTAATACCAGCAACTTTTTTTGCTGAGAGTGTGAGATAAAGAAGCTAGTGCAAATCAGATTTCCTTCACTCACACTAAGCCTCGTTTGGTGCACAAAAATAAATAAAGGGTGAAGCAAAGTGGGAGAAGAAAGAGTGGGGAATAAAGATGGAATCTAAATCTCGTAGTTTGGTTGATTAGAATAAATTACTATATTAATGAGAAAAGAAAGTAATAAAGATAAAACTAACAAAACGCCATTTGTGTAAGACCAAATCACCATAGTAATTGAGCCAACAAAGAGCTACATACAAGGGCCGAGTGAAGGGGTCAGGGGGGTCAACTGACCCATTGAAAGTTTGAGCATGTAGAGTCGAAATGCCTTCATTTTAATACGTAGTATCTTATAGGTCTCGTAACCCATTCCAAACCAAAAGTTATGACCCAAACTATTTAAATTTTGAAATAGGTGAAATTGAGATTATATACTTCTAATTCTAAGAATATTGATCAAACACTTACGAGAGTGTACACGAGTATAATTCACAGGAAAAAATACACATTTATGTTTCATTTCTTTAATTTTACAAGTACATTTTGAAAAATAATGTCTTATTCATTCGTTACTTGCTTGAAACTTATACTAGTACTCTGTCAATCAATAAACTCTCTGTCTAGCTTGAATTAACTTTTAACACACCCACAATTAGAATTATTCAACTAAAGATTTGTCCCAAACGATGCTGTTATTTCTCTATTACTCCATAAATGGTTTCAGCTGAGGACTTTATATATTATACTAAGGTCTCCTAATTCTTTTGGACTGAAATTTGATGCTCTGTTCTGAACTGATTTGATCTAGTAAATGTCTGGTCTCTGTGTATTTTATAACTTTGAAAGTCTAGTCTGGGACTGAAAATAGTCCAAAAGAAAACTTTATGGCGTACTCCCTCCGTACCTTAAAACTTTATCAACTTTCATTTTTTGGATGTCCCGCTAACTTTGTCACTTTCTTTTTTAAGTAAAGAATTTGTTTTTAAGTAAAGAATTTGTGGTTCCAGTTAATTCTCAATTCTATGCACAAGTCTCAACCGCACAGTTTTTACTTTATTGATTCTCGTACCAGTCAAACTTGGCAAAATTATAAGGGACGGAGGATATAACAGGAAAACCATACCAAACTTCCTAATGGGGCTGGAAATGTGTTGGCTTCTCTTCTTTCGGTAGGGGCGGATCATTGAACCTGTATTGGGCGGGACTGAGGAGTGATAGTACAAAGAAAAAAGAAATTTTTGAAAAAAATAAATAATGTTTTTAGAATAGAAAGCAAATCAGGATCCCTAAATCCGCCCCTGTTAGCTCTGAAGTACACACAATTTGCAAAATTGTATCCCCATAATAAAAAACCAAGTTGTTGAAGATTTATAGAAACCAGATCCACCACTTCACTTAATTATTCATATATTCAAACCTGGGATGCGAAATTACCAAGCCTAGCATCACTTGAAAAATGAAAAAGTACAGTAAAGTATTAGCAATGTCATCCAGATATAGTATCAGTTACTGCTAATACCAAAGCACAGAAGAAAACAGAGGTGTATGCAGATCTGGGCCTAAATGGAGCAAAACTCGGGCGCGGCTTTTACCTCGAGGAATGGAGAGGAGTGGGTGAGAATCGCAGTCGCAGTTGCAAGGAGGGCATGAAGAAGAGTAAGGCGAAGAAGAACGGGTGACCGCCGCCGCAAATCCTTCAATGAGGTGCCAGTACAACGGCGGGCCTAAAATGTATCCAGCCAAGCACATCGCCATCAACCCAAGAGCCACCTTAACCCCCCATCGCTGCATCATGAAGCTATTCTTTCTCTCTCTCTCTATCTGCTCGTTAAAATGAAACAATTGAAGTCGGACTGCGGAAATTAGATCATTTTCCATACTTTACTCCGCTCAACAGCTTTCAGGAGTCCCAAAGTCCCGGGGGATCGCTCTCCAGTGAACCTGATCCGATGACATGTGCATTGGGCTTAATAAATACTCCATATCAGATCAAATTTAGTAAAATTTGTGTAGTTTTAAATTATTTTTACTTTGTTCTTACTTTATCATTTTAATATCAATCACATAAACTCATTTTTGTTAATAATCGTGTCATCACTTCTTGTCCCAATGTTAGTGGGACGGATATAATACTCCTAATATTTATATCCCTAAGTTTATTTGCGATTAATAAAGTAAAAACAATGTGTATTGACTATTGATATTTATGTAAATGCAAGAAAAATGATTTTAGTCCCATATTTGTTACTTTAAATGAAAACTAGACGATGAACCTTTGTGTTGCAAGGGAAAAATCAAGTCACATTACTCAAATGAAAAAGAGATCGAATGAACATATTTTACTACCTTCGGCCCGGGTAAAGGTTCTCGTTGAGTTTACGATGTTTGACAAGTGATAAAGTTAAAAGACCCTTGTTAATAATAAAATTATTTTAAAAAAATAAAATTTGCATATTCATAAACTACATTAAAATTCTCGTAAAATCACAAAAAAAAATCAAATTAGCATTATAGTAAAAGATTAAGAACAATTCACATTAATTTAAACCAATTTTTTTATTTTATTCATTCAATACATTTTAAATACGGAGTATAACTTTTTCATAATTTAGCATAATTAACCAATTCAGCCAGCTTAGTCAGAATTTCACGATTTCAATAGTTCTAGCTGATTTCAATAATTAACCACTTATGAGAGAGTCAGCTTTCATGGGCGTATTTTTAGTGGTCGGCAAACCGGTTCGGTTTGAGTGAGCAGAACTAAATCAAATTGATATGAAACCAAATCATATGCAATTTAGTTTGAGTTTGGTATTATGTCTTCCAAATCGAATTAAACCAAATTAAAAGAAATCAAAACTGTGGAAAATCGAATAAGGTGGAGCCGAACTCAAATAGTCAATAAATTCTTAATATATTTCTAAAATAACAAATCAAAACCGATCGAAACGAATAAAATTGAACCGAACCAAAACATAGTATGATTTTTGTTTGGTGATCGTGCTTCCAAACCGTTTCAAACCGATATTAAATCCTATAAAAATCGATTTGAAATTGTTACTATTTTTATATATAAGTTTGTTACTCAATAAGTTGTATTTTATAAGAGAAATTTATCCTTTAGAATACAAAAATTATGTTTTTTTTTAAATTGAAAAATCTAATTTTTACTTTTCTACTTTATTCTTTTATCTACGTTTTTATCCACTTAAATGTTGTAAACTAAGGCTACTTTTTCTTATCCATTGAATCTATCAATTGTAAAGATGATGTATTCCATGTACGTAATCACAAATTTTACATAATCACAAATTTGCATAATTTTTTGAAATTGTAATTGGATTCAAGTAATTCTGGACGCCGCTAATGGAATCCTTAATTTGTTCAAATTTTAAGTGTAATTACCCTTGTGATCGCGCATTTGCTCAAATGTGGTAGGACAATATATATGATCCATATAACCCTTATCTTCATTACAATTCGAGTAAATTGACATCGGTCGCAAATTATTCATCACAAAAAAGTCAATTTTCTTGTAGTGGATTGAATTGCATGCCCGTCTTGATTATATCATTATAAAATTAATATACTAAGTTATTGTAGCTCAATTTCAGTAATAAAAAGTTACTGTAGCTTAATCATTTCGGTCCCATGCTGCCATGCAACCATGCATTCACGCTCCTTTAATATGCAGTGACCAAGCATCTCACACTTATGAACTGTATATTCTTCCTTTATACGGAGTATTTCATGGGATGGATGAAGTATATGATTATACGGATTACGAAGTACATATATAAAACCAACTACAAAGTAGATGCTCAACGTACACAATTTGTTGGCTAAATTACCAAATTGGTAAAAATAGAGGGTGATTTACTAAATTGGTATATATATAAAATCTGGAGGTAGATTAATAAAAAAATAAAGCTCCAGTGATAAATTGGTCAATTTTTTGTGAGTGAGACAATTCTAGTACTCAGCTTTAGAATTCCCAACATTTGGTCCTCTAAGTATTATGAAAACTGACAATCTTACTAGCGTTTAAAAAGTTCTGATCTACTCCATAAAATGACTATGAATATTTTTACTATTTTATTTGTATGAATATTTTTTCTATTTTATATGGAGTAGCATTTAAAAATACTAACAAAATAGTCATATTTAAAATATTATTACTATAAATAAATGAATTTATATGTGTATGCTCGTGTAAATGTACATGTGTTAAAAATGATAGCCGTAGTAGTTATATAAAATAAAAGTATATATAATTTTTAAAAAAAATTCCAAAACTTATTAAAAATAAAAGAAATAAAGTTAAGTTAAATATATACCAATGTTCTAAAAGGCGTTACGCGCTAGTCGGGCGCCAGCCCAGCGCCTAACGCCTAGGCGACTAGGCGGGCGCCTAGTCGGAGACAAAGGAATTGCATTTTTATCTATATTTTGCATAAATATGATAAGTAATATTGTATTTTTGTGTGTATAAAATACATATATACATATACATCACCAAACATGAGTGATAGAATTATCACATTTAATCATACGTAGTAACTAGTATATGATAACTAATTACTTAACTTCATTATGTTATAAATATAAATAATGATGAAATTTAGGTATATATAGAAACATATACGGAGTATAGTTTTATCTTAACTTACAACTTCATTTCTTGATATCCATGGCTAAATCTAAATTACGTATATCGCTTAGAAAATTGAAATTAAAAAGTAAAGTAATGTTTGGCGAATCTAGACGGCCTATGCGTTCGATTAGACGCTCTAGGCGGGCAACTAGGCGCCATAGGCGGCCGACCAATTAGTCGCAGCGCCTAGACGAAAATCGGGGCGCCTGACGAGCACTTTGTCATGGTGCGTCAAAATAAATTCAATACTAACACTAATACGTAATATAGTGAAGTAGAGTTCGTATCCACAGGGAAAGGAAACAATTCTCTTTGTATAAAACTAGTAAATAAAAGGGGGATTTTGGGATTTAATGATACAATTAAAACTAAATACGAAGATGAACGACTTATATGTGATTTAATTCAAAGATAAAAAGGACTTGGCATTGCTACTTTCCACTTGTTGATATATTTTAGTCGATCATTTTTATTCTATAACTTATCCCCTCTCGAATACTCAATCGAGGAGTATATCCAATTCATCGAGGGTAGTTATTAACAACGACCGTTCATTAATAACCCTTACTATTAGTCAAGTATAGAACACCACCATATACCGACTTGATAGTAGCATTTAATCTCTTAACTCCTTGATGAAATCAATTGAGATTGATAACCTCAACACAACGGTTTTGGTTTAACCAACAAAATTAATCCCTCTTAAGTTTATTAACCACGACCGTGCATTAATAAACCGAAGTTACTTGTGAAACCATCAACGATTAACCATCGGTTCGTTGATCGTTTCTAGTAATAATTAATATATGAAACAAACCTAGTTGATCCTTTCAGTAATGTTCAAAATATTAATATGAAATATGAATAGGAATCAATTAATACTCAAGGAAGAATATTAAAGAAGATGAATCCTACTATGGTTAATATCAAGATGTTAACTAATTGTCATCTTAGTAACACTCCCCAATATTAATATAGAGGAAGAAATAACTATTACTATAACTAATGTCAAGATGTTAACTAATTGTCATCTTAGTAACACTCCCCAACATTGATATAGAAAAAGTATTTAAAGGAAGAATTAATATTCAAGGAAAGAAGTTAAGAAAATAACTCATAACTTTAATAATCAACAAGCTTCAACAGCAACACCAAGAAATGGAAGTTTAGCTCCTCATTTGGAGACTAAGCATGCTATAAAAATATAAAAGAAATATTATTCTAAGTTGAGCTTAAGAGTATGGAAGAAGGGATTTATTAAAAGTGAAGGAAAATGGGGCTATTTATAGGTGTTTTCAACACCTTTGGCCGGGTACCCGACCGTGTGGCTTAGTTGACCCGACCGGGTTTGGTCAAAATCAGATATTTTCCACATTCTGGCGATCTTCGGCATGTTCTGGTGTTCCGGGTCACATCTGACCCGACCGGGTCAAGTAGGGGACCCGACCGGGTCTGGCAATTTCCTTGCTTCTTCGGTTGTTAAATCTTACCCGATCGGGTGTGGGTTTCTACATGGTCGGGTTTTGCTCCTGGGCAGTCAAATTTCTTGTTTTATTCTCTTTAAAGACCTCTTTTCCAACACCATAAATCCTAAATCTATTTTACAACTTATAAATGAAGATTAAAATACAATTACAACTAAAATCACACAAATGTTTACAAACTAAATAAAACGATAAATAATACACACAAATCAAACATAAAAACATACACTTATGCACTGCTAACTAGTGCATATCAGCGCCCGACCACCGCCTAGCGCCTAGGCGGGGACTAGTCAAACACCTAGAACGATTTTTAGAACAGAGATATATACACTTTTAGATTCTTCTTTTTAATAGTCATTTTACGTCATAACAGCTAATCGCAAACATCTAAGTTACTAAACAGTTTATTTCAAATCACTAATGAAAGTGATCGGTTAAAACGGCTAACAAAATACGTTAATATCAATCTGTTGATTCAACCGGTATTAGCTAACATCCAACCACTAATTGTTAAACAACCTCATCGAAATTTTTAGTCATCTAGTTTTCATGATAAAATCACAATAGAAGATTTGGAAATGTCAATTTTACAATATTTATGAGATTAAATGTCAGGAATTCTAAAGTTGGAGACTAAAAAAGTGTCCCACGTCACTTACAAAAATTTGACCAATTTATCGTCGGAGCTTTTTTTACCAAATTTTCTCAAGAGGTTTCTAAGTTTTTAGCATTGATTGTAAATGATTTTTTTAGTATCTATTGTTATAAAATGTGTTACAAGTTCTATATTTTGGCGTAGTCGTGTACTATTAACAAGTG